GAGAGAGAGAGAGAGAAATATCAGTATGAAACATTTATCAGGGCACAGCGCTTCGCGGCGAGGTGAAATTCAATGGAAAATAGGAAATCGAGATTCGACGAGAGGACACTCGTCCCGGGCCAAGCCTGTTTTCCTAAATACTGGGAAATGTTTATTGAGCAAACACATCTGGATGCATACGCCGCCGTTCGATCCGTATCTGTTCAATATTTTATGCTAAAACAACCGGGGAACTTGATCACACGCGCGGACGCGTAGGCTGCCGCCGCGCTCATCGCTCGTTAATGTATTCATTAGCGGGGACGTCCTGTATCTCGCCAGCCACGCTCGTTTAATCCAGAAATATTGTCGCGTTTTTTTCGCCGACATAAATTATGACGCGCGTTCGAATCACTGCAATTAAAATGCCTTCATAGAAAAATTGCTTTAGAATAATTTCATCATCCACCATGAAATCAGGTTTAAATCCAACAAACAATCGTCCATTTTCAAATTCGCTATTATAAATCACGTATTTCTGACGATCGTATATTATGAAAAACAAAAATTTCAACAAAATATACGAAAGATACATAATGAAAAATTTATTAATAGAAATAACAAAAATTAATATTAATAAAAATAACAAAATTGAAATATAATATGTATGAAAATAATATTTTTCTTGGAAAATATAACGTTGGCGTGTTCGACAACTTTATTTTCCCCGTCGCGTTCATTCATTTTCGTTATTAATCAAGCGTAAAAAGCATAAAAATCAGCTAAGAGATACGATCCTCAAAAAAACAGAGGAATGATTTGCGAATGATTGATGTGGTGGCGAAAGAGTTAAAAACCCGTTGGACGGATCCTTTCGGTCATTTTGGAATCCGGCTATAAAGCCGTGGAGAGGTCTTTTAGCCGGTATCGAATCTCCGCCAACGAAAATAAGCGCGATCGCAAAGCACGTAATGGGGATACGTCACGCTGACCGCAGATAACATGGTTGGAGCGACCGCTTGTGAATAGTTGAACGAATGTAGCGGTGATTTTCGAAGCGACCGGAAGTGCGCCTTTTGATGCCCGTTAT